TGGTGCGCCGCAAGTTGGCAGACCTGGTTCATGGTTCGGTGTTCGCACCTAGCCCCCCCCCTTACAAGTGTTGGTGTGTTGGTGCGCGTCGCAACGCACATATTGTTGCAAACAAGTTTGATGCAAATGAGAGCTAGAACACCCCACACCTTCACCACTCTAAAGAGAGGTGCCTACCATTTTCGGCGACACCCCCCTACGGATAGCGGTCAACCAAACGTGGGGAGGTTGTGGAACAAGGAATAAACGAGTAAACGGGGAGCGGAGTATTTTGGCTCGTGCGGGGTGGGCATGCAGAGAAAGTGGTACATGCGCGAGAGGAACGTGTTTCCTCCTGTGCGAAGATACGCTCCTCTCGTGAGCATGCTGGGCATCGTTGTGTACCTTTTATTGTGGCAGTGGCCGTTCACAAGCACGATGGTCGTGTCACACGTTGCATGTCGCAATGAGGGACCGCACTCGGGTTGTAGAGCTCATCAAATGGTGGCCTTATCGGCAGCACAGATACCGTCCTCGTTAATGACTCAAACCTTGCCGAAAATCAAGGGAATAAACAAAATGCCAACCATCACCCTTACCTAGTTATCCTCCTCTTCTCTGGCGTGCTGTCAACCTGGGAAGACCAAGCACCATGTTCTGGTGTGTGAGGCAGCGTCCAAGGAACACCAGGAGGAGCTCCGCCGACTACAAAGATGCCTTAATAGGGGGGGAGGATTATTCCCATAAACAGTTTTCGGCCCCCCCCTTGGAACCGCTCCACCATCCAGCACCTGCTGTTGGATGCGGTGCTCCACAAAGAGGCCGATTGTGCGCCCTTCCATCGACATGAGGTAGTGCACAAGGCCAGCTCCAGGTCTGCAAGCTAACCCAGCTCGTATGGTCGGACGAGGGGAGGGACACAGCAGCCTGGGATGTTGTATAGAGCTGCACGAAAAGAACAAATTCGGTTTTAAATTTGGAACAGCAGCAGCAGCAGGGGCGGGTGGAGACCGGGTGCACGGAGTGACCGGGCCGCGAGCTCGTCGTACTTCCACCACCAAGGCGTGATGGTGTTCGTGCGACTGTACCAACGTGTCTCGCAGAGGTGAGCTCAAACCTGAGGGCCACTTTGAGTTCCAACGCAATGTGGCGACGATTTTGGCTCTTGGCCTTTGCGGGGCGGCGGGCGTACTCCCTACTGCAAGCGCTTTCTCACGCTATGCCTCTGCTTGTGTGCTGCAAGCACCTCTCTCATAACACAATGATGTACCGCACAGCATCAGTATCCCGTCTGGCACAGCGGTGACCTCCTTGCAGTGCTCACGCTATATTTTCCCTCAACAACTCGTGCAACGTGGATCGCACGCACATTGCACTACGCTACTGCTGTTGTGCAACAAATCTGTCCGCCCCGCTCTTGTGTGTCTCCTATAGCATACATACAACTCCGTCGTGGGCGCTTGTTGCTGCTTGCTGTGTTGACTGTACGTACATTAGCTATGAGGTGGCGCTGGGACAGTACCAGGATCGTGTGGCGGCCGGCTTGCAGCCCTCTACGCGGGTGGTGAACCTATACAGCGTCGGCACCGAGGAGGGTCTGCTCGTGTGCGCCAATTTCTTGTATCTGGGGCTGGTGGTCCTGCTCTATCTCCGAATGTTGGTGAGCAGCAAGGCCTCGGCAGACGTCGAGAGTGACATAAAAAGGTGCACCGCAAGAGGCGTAGAGATGGCACCCCCCCTAGGCCGAGTTTCAAAGGTTGATTGCTCCACAATCAAGATTGTGCCAACGCCAAAGATTGCGGTTTTGGAATCATGTCAAGATCGTTCCGTAGAACTGTCCGGCTCCCCCTTAGTTGTGGAGCAATCGTCGTGCTTCGAAAGTCGAGGGGGGGTGCTATCTCCCCGTCTCCTACGGTACAGCCGTACACCCAGAACGCTAATGCAGCCCTGGCTCTCGCGGGGAAGGTGTTTATAGGGTGTTTTTGGTCTGTTTTTTTGGTATTATTTGGTTTTGGGGGGTGCGATATATATGCACACACAATTCTAGAATCTCAAGTCATTGGACACTAACCGCGTGATTGGCACCCAAATGCAGTGGCGGCATGCTGGTGAGCAGCAAGGTTAGGGAGGAGGTTGATAATGCAAGGGTTGGAGGGCATTGAGAATGACACGTAGTACGAGGTCTTCAATTGCTGTGGATTTATCTGGAACGGGTATTTAGTCTTCTGTGGTTGTGTGTAGTGTGTAGGCTATTTTCTACTTACGAGTCTGGAACCCGGGGTCGTTGGGAAGCTAACCGCATCAAGAGCACCAGATGAAGTGGCGGCATGCTGGCGAACACCAGGGCTTGGATGAGGTCGAGAATGATCATACAAGTCTCGAAGCCCAGGTCATTGAGAGGCTACCGCATGCAGAGCGCCAAGTGCAGTGGCGGCATGCTGGCAAATAGCAAGGCTTGGAGAAGGTAGAGAATGACAACATTTGTCTCCGGTCATTGGGAGGCTATCCTCACGTAGAGCAAGTGCACTGGCGGTACTACGGGAAGCAGCAGTGCTTGGAGCACGACCTCTAAGGCCATGTGCTGCCGTTCTTCCCTGCCTGTTCGTGTAGTGTCTATAAAGGCACCACGTTATCACACATCCGTTTTGACAATGGGGTGGAATAGGTAAAGCAGCTTCGGTGTGAGGAGCCATATTTTTCTGAGGGTACATGATACTGCTGTACGTTGAAACTTCAGGTTCAACGACAACTCTAGCGTGGGACTTTTCCCGACCACTGCTACTTTTAGAGAAGACAGAGAAAGGCAGAGAGAGAGAGAGACTTGTAGAGAGACGAGAGATTAAACCCACCCCCATGCCCCCCCCAGGTCAAAGGTCTAGCGACTACGGCATGCACGACTATGAGTACACCCCCCCCCATGCCCCCCCCGTCCGTCCGCAGAGAAGGAAAGAGCCTGTGCGTCTGCGCGCGCTCATGCTCGGCTACAACACCCTAAACGTCTGCATCTCGCTCTTCGTGGCGTGCAGCCTCCTGTTCTTCAAGGTAAGCTCGAGGGGTTTCAACGGCGAAGGAAGGGACGGGTCCGTCGTGTCCCCGGGGGGGGGAGGGGGAGTCGGCGGTTTCGTGTGCAACCCCCTCCGCACCGACCTTCAGGGGCAGATGGTGGCGAGGGTGTTCGCGGTGTTCTACCTGCAGAAGTACCTGGAGCTGGTGGACACCTTCCTGTTCCTGCTCAGGAGATCCTTTAGACAGGTGAGTCTCCCTCTGGTTGACATCCACTTCTTCAGGGTCGGCAGTGCATGGAAAGCGTATGGCGGAGATCCTTTAGATTTGTTTCAAGACGGGTGAGTCTCGCTCTCGTTGTCATCCACTTCCGGGTTGGCATCACTTATGGGGGAGGTCCCTTAGAACAGGCGAGTCTCTCTCTCGTTGTCACCCACTTCCGGGTTGGCAGCGCATGGAACACATATGGCGGAGATCCTTTAGAAGGGTGAGTCTCTCTCTCGTTGTCACTCACTTCCGGGTTGGCAGTGCATGAAACACGTATGGCGGAGATCCTTTAGACAGGCGAGTCTCCCTCTCGTTGACATCCACTTCTTCCGGGTTGGTGCGTGGAACAAGTATGGCGAGCGCTCGTTGCCAAGGGCCAGGTTGTGTGAGATAAGTGTACATTCAATCGCAGGAAGACTTACCTGCTCGATCTGTTTTGTGTCCAATGTTCGTATCACATAATCTTGATTCTTTTTTGTCACACAGCAGTTGATTTTTCACAACGAAGTGGGTACGGAAAGAGACCGATACGTCTACGAGAAGCCGTCGACGAGATGTTTCTAAACCGACTTGTTTGGTGTTGGTACAAGCTTGGATGTGGAGCAATCGATCGTTGAAAATCGGTGTAGGGAGGGTGCCATATCTCGGCCTGTTACGGTACTATGCTTTTCTCCATCCGCCGCGTTTGGTTGTCCCCCTCCCACTGTACCCCCCCCCCCCCCCCCGTCCCGGTGTTTGCCATCGGGGTTTGGGTTTTCGTCGCTTGGCAACGACGTTGTAAAACAAGCCCCCCCCCTCGGTGTTTGCCATCGGGATTGGGTTTTCGTCTCTTGGCAACGACGTTGTAAAACAAGCCAATTCACTTCGTGAACTCGGCAACCAGGTTACCGTTTTTTTTTTTTCCTCTGTTTTTTTTTGGCGGTAACCATAGTGGTGGTCGAGTAGATCATGTTGTGCGGGGTCGAGAACCCTCACTCCGCGCAACGGGGGATGATCGCACCACGTTGTGTTGAAATGGTCAAGCATCCGCGAGGCAGTTGCACAGTGCTTACAACTGTCTCTGGAAGTGAAAGCACCAGAAAATAGAGTAAGTCATACGCAGCTGTCATCCGTACGCAAGGAAGTAAGCACAAGATGCCGAACACCCTTAGCAGGATGCAGCTCACCCTTCATGCGACTCGCCGAATACCTCACGGCGCTTCGCGCTTGGTGATGTGAGAGCCGGGTCCGGTGAGAACCCGGCGTGCTCCGTCCCGGCTTTGTAGGGATGCGAGGTGAATGGTCTAACGACTACGGCATGCACGACTCCCCCACCCCGACCCCGTTGTGCCTTCCTTTCTCGATCTGCGATGTTCCCTATACCTGGTTTTTGTCCGTCCGCGTGCACGCGGCGGCCGCAATGGAAAGCGCAGGTGACCTTCTTCCACCTGTTTCACCACTGCTCCATCACCGTCATCGTCGGTTCCATCCTTCCCTTCGGTGAGACAGACAGACCTACAGCAGGATGATGATACATAGCATCCTTCCCTTCGGCGAGACAGACAGACAGACAGACCTACAGCAGGATGATGATACATAGCATCCTTCCCTTCGGCGAGATAGATAGACGGACCTACAGCAGGATGATGATACATAGCATGCTTCCCTTCGGTGAGATAGACAGGCAGAGCTACAGCAGGATGATGATACATAGCATGCTTCCCTTCGGTGAGACAGACAGACCTACAGCAGGATGATGATACATAGCATCCTTCCCTTCGGCGAGACAGACAGACAGACAGACCTACAGCAGTATGATGATACATCGCATGCTTCCCTTCGGTGAGATAGATAGACGGACCTACAGCAGGATGATGATACATAGCATGCTTCCCTTCGGTGAGACAGACAGACCTACAGCAGTATGATGATGGCCAGCTTCGCTGCCAAGCCTCGTTCAGTGCTACATAGGCAGCAGCACTTCAATGAGACTGCTGTGTCCGATTTGTGAATTTGCTCTTTTTTTGGTTGGTTGAGGTTCGCTGGGCTCTTCGAATCAAGAACCGGTCGGCTGTGTGAGCTGTTCGAGCTTGGGAAACTTCACTGATGACCGCTGGCAGCTGATTCAAGTCAACGCATTCCTCTTTTACTTTCAGCTTGTATCACGCCTTGATGACACTACAATTAATAGTGTGCTCTGATAAGCCCACTCCGGATGCGCGCCTTGTACAGTAGAGGATATGTACGTACATAGCATGATAGAAGGACTTCTACCCGCTCGAGCAAATACCCCCGTTCGAAGGCATGTGTTGGAAGTCTTTCGCGGTGCAGGTCGAGGAAGAGCTGTTGCACTTATTTGGAGTGTGGTATTTTTTTAGGCCTTCCCACGGAGAAAGAAATGTTGTAGTGATGCCCCAGTCGGGGACAATAGGCACTGCCTCCCCACCGAGAAAGCAGTATTATAGTGATGCCCCAGCTGGAACAACAGGCACTTTCGTTTTTCAACAAGAACGAAACAAGCCGACTCATCGGCGAGCCCATGCGTGTGTTCTCAGCGAAGATATTATAGTTTGCATTATTGATCGTCCCATGATATGCCGACTTTGTAGATCGAAAGTATGCCATGGCACGCATGGTCAAGAGCCTCACATCCCCCCCCACACACTAGCTGGTAATTTTTAGAAAATGTACTTAAAAACACAGAAAGACTACCCGTTCGAGATTTAGCCACAGTCGAAAGTCGAACGGGATGTATGTGCTGAAGGCCTTTCAGTGAGCTATTTTTTTCGTGCCACCGCTTGGAGATCCAAGTATATCCCATGCCACTCCATTCTGCAGATCCCCCAACGAAACCTCGCCATTTCGCCGCCGATGCTCACTTGTCTCTCTCGCAGACTTCAACGGCGACATGTACCTGCCGATCATGCTCAACAGCATCGTGCACGTGCTGGTGTATCTGCACTACGTCTTGAGCGCGCTCGGCAAGCACTCGTGGTGGAGCAGACACTTGACGAAGCTGCAGCTGACACAGTTCGCGGTGAGAAAGCGTTTCGGTTTTCGATAGGCCCAAGTACCTAGCTCACCAAATCACCAATAAGTTCCCTCTTTTTTAGTGTCCTCTACCTTTATTGCCGAAGTACATAGCTCACCAAATCACCAATAGTTTCCCTCTTTTTTCTTTTTTTTCCTCTTGCTTTCTTTCTGCCGAAGATCAACCCGACTCCCCCCCCCCTCCTGCTCGCCCGGACCGCCTTCGCGAGAGGATAATTTTATCAACCTATGAAATAGAGAGGGGGTTTTCGTACCCCTCACTAACCCTAACCCTAACCCTAACCCCAACCCAACCGCGTAACTCCTATACTAAAACCAAGATAAAATATCCTCGCGAAGGCTATTACTGGCTCTGGTCTCCTGTGCGGCTCGCGATCCCCCCCCTCCCCGCCTTCTAGAAGTTCGTCTGCCGTCACCGATGCCCCCGACCGCTAACAGGACACGCAATGTATTCGGAACATTTTTTTAATTCCAAAGGTGATTCTCGTGCAGTCCGCGACGGCGTTCTATCGAGGACCAGACTGCGGGTCCCCCGATTTCGTCAAGGTGAGAGCGAAGCCCATACAGCAGTAGTACAGAGGGGGTCCCTGTTTAGTGCCAGTTGAATAGTGCCAAATGCCCGGTAAAGTGCCGGTGTTGCCCGGTGGGCACACACTTAATTTCGTTGTCAGTACTTTGAATTGAATAGTGCCGGTCCGGCATTTTGTATTGCCGGTGAAATCTCTGGGCACGTGCGGGCACTAAACAGGGACCCCCTCTGTAGTGGTAGTTTTTTTGGGCGATGTACGTTCCCGTGAGCCTCCGTCACGCCTGTGATTCTTTCATGCCATGTCCGTCCATGCCAAACGGGCAACAAAGGCAAAATTTGCTTTTTCGCCGAACCTGATTCGCGTTCCCAGGCACGCGCTTCTGTATTGTTTTGGGGAGCATGGCGGGTTTAGGGGTTATCCCGGGTTAATCTTCCACCGAAATAAGGCATCTATTTGTCGACGCCGCCAATATTAAAAGGCCAGGTCATCATCCTCGACAGACACATGTGGAGGCACTTGTTTGTGCCCATGGTTATGGGGGGATATCTCGACACCTTGCCATAAATGAAAAAAACTAGTACAACTGGCGCTGTCCGTCTCCAGGAGATTGGCTGCACCCCTACATACAGCATACATAGGGAGATTTTTGAACGAGGCGGATTGACCACGTCGGGATGCTGTGTCTACCCGTCGAGGAGACCAATTTTTTTTGGTATCACCTCGCGAAATGCCCCCTGCTGTGAGCCGAATCGACGAGAAGGAGAAACCTGTCCCCTGTCCCCTGTCCCCTGGTTTTCCTGCTCTAATCGCCAGCAGCACGAGAACCATGTAAACGATCCCCCACCCCCGCAACAATCAACGTGTCCTGCAAAAATTATCATGATTTTTCGGTCTTCGACAAGAACGAAACGCGTTGTAGTGGTGCCAAACCGGACGAACCGATTTTCACCTCGATCCGGAGTTCACTTACCGACTGGATTGGATGTCGCTGAAATCCCGAGTGAAGTGGCGCTCCGAAGACCCGGAAATCACCGAAAGTTTTGCGTCTTGCTCCAGTTCGCTGATGTCGCCCACGAGGAAACCTGTCACTCCCACCACGAATCACGCCCGATCAAGAGTACGACAAGCTCGTCGTCGTACTCATCCCGTGTCACAACACTGCTGTGTGTTTATCCACGAAAAAATTAACAACTTGCCCACGAATCCCCCCCCCCCCCCGTGGTCAATGGTCTAAACGCTAAGGCATGCAAAACATGAGTGCCCCTTCCCCCTCCCCCGCCCGGCGCGCGAACAATGGAGGTGGTTATTTTGTACTCATGCTATCGTTGCTCGGGCTCTCGCCCTGTTCTTCATGAAACCTGTCGTTGCTGGGTCTAAAAAAACAGTTTCCACGAAAAACCGAACACCTTCCCCACGGACTATCCCCCCCCTCCCCCGCGAACAAACAAGGTGGTCCTTCTTCTGTACATGATATCGTTGCTCGGGCTCTTCGCCCTGTTCTTCGTGAAGAGGTCGTTGCTGGGTCCCGCCGAGGACCCCGGCATGTGCGGCGTAATCAAGTCGCTCGAGGCCGACAGCAGCGGCGGGATTGGGGGCACCGCGGGCAAGACGGAGGGGGTAGTAGCGGCACCGGCGGCGGCGGCGGCGGGATCATGGCACGGGAATGTTTTGCTGGACGAGGTCGGGGCGGCGGAGATATGGCTCCCGCCTGGGTTCCCTGCAGAGGTGCGAGGGGTTTTGGTGGCGGTGCTGCGAGGGTTGTTGATGCTGTGGTGGTGGTGGTGGTGGTGGTGGTGGTTGTTGTTGGGGTTATTTTTGCTGTTGTTGTGGTTGTGTTGTCGTCGTCGTCGTTGTGGTTGTGTCGTTCATGTGCTATGGTCGACAGTTTTGTTGCCACGGACAATCAAACCCCGTTACTTTGTCCGCGAATCCCCAGCAACTCTCTCCCCATGCACTATCCGCAGACACGCTTCCTCCCTCCCCCCCCCACCTGACGATACCAACATACATATGTGTCATGTACATGTTGCGACACAGACTCTCGCCGGATCGACGACGTACAGCTACCAGCTCACCCCAGTCGGAGCGCCGATGCCCGGGCTGTTCGTTTCGGAAGAGATTGCGACAGCAACGAGCCGAGGCAGCAAGCCAATCAGCAGGCTGCGGGGGGATAGCAATGACGCCGGTTCTTGCATCTCCTTCTCGGTGAAGGGAGGGAAGCCGCGGTTCACCGTGTCTTGGGCGGTCACCGCGGTGGGGGCTCCGTGCGGTGGGGGGGGAGGAGGGACAGGGGGGAAGCAACCTCTCTCCCCGAGCCACAAAAGTAGCGAATGACATTGAGGCGAGGGGTCTCATGTTGCAGTTCCGATGGCAGCAGGGGAGGTGCTGGTGCTGACGGCTGAGTTGATTGACCGGGGGGAGTGGGCTCCGCTATGGGCTTTACGGGCAGTACCTCAATCCCTACGAACGGGACAGACATACAAGAGGCCGTTGTACCGTGTGAAATATGTGGGGGAGGTTTCGTTTGCCGAATGTATCTACGTGTGACTTGGTTTTGTTTGCCTTTTTCTTTTTGTCGCTTTTTCTTTTTTGTGTATGTCAGTTTTGATGCTTGTGGTGTTATATATAATAGTGTGATTGTGCGGCCCACGTGCCATCGCTCCGCGCCGGGGGCGGTAGGTGCACATTGCTGTGTGGTGCGTGTGGTGTGTCGAGTTCCGAGGGGTAACTTCTCCAGTTTCTAGCTGTTGCCCTTGATATCAACGTTGGCGTCATAGAGTTCTCCATGCGCATGATAATATCATACAGGGCTCACAGAAACGGACCGCGTGAGTTCATTTTTTGAGAGGGGGGGGTAATACGGTGGTGAACGATTATACGGAGCACTGCTGAGCGAGTAGACCAACTTGCGTGTTGATCCGTCCTGGTTTTCTGGCAGTGTCGTGCTTCGCTGTTTTTTTCTTTCGTCGAGCGTGTGTCTTCATTCTCGTCGTGCCTTTTTTATCGAAACAGTTTTGTGTACAACGGTTGGTGCCCACACGCTCGCGCAGGTTTTCGTTTTTCAAAGTAAATTTTTGGTTCGTTCGTTGTCCTTGTGTTTTCCGCATAGTAGGCGGGAAGCCCGTCCAAGGTGGGGTGAGAGTTTGTGTGCTGCAAGTTGCGGCAGCGTTAGGGGTAATTTATGGGCTTGTTCTCTGGTACGCAAAAGGGATGTGTGTAGGGAAATTCAAGTGATCCCTCGGGAGTGCGCTCATGAGAGCACAATGCCATCAAGGAGAGTGATGCCAAGATGAAAAACTATAGCAGGGAGCAGGACCAAACCGACGGCTGGCGTCCAGCTGCGGTGACGTTTCCCACGCTCAGCAGCGCACAACAGCTGACGTGTTTCTGACTCGAAGAGCCTGTGAACCTCAACAAACCTAATGTAATAGAAAAAAATACAGTATTTCCAGACTCCTGCGTGGCCTTCTTCCTCCTTCGTGGCCCCGGCTGATGCTACGTCCCGAAAACTACTACTGGAAGTTACCGAGAGGTGTGACCCCTGACGTCCCAGAATAAATATGTAGGACGACATACACAAATGCTTGAGGCTTCACAACATCACAACATCGTGCCATGTAGGTATGCAAGTGACGTGCAGCGAGGGTGGGGGGCCACACGCCGGCTGGGATTTTTGTGTTTCTCGAGTTCTCGATCGACATCGTTCTAGCGCGTGCTTTGTAGCTCTATTCAATCGTTTACCGTCCGGGGACAACAGCGATAGGTTGACATTGGTCCACACGGGGCGGGGGGCGGCGTGTTCCACACCACGCCATCTTTGATGCATGGGCTGCAGTAGTCGGCTTACCCGGGCTGGTTTTGTTTACACGATGACTACCATCGAGGGTTGTTGGTTCTCGGACCCTCTACGGCGGCGCATTTCTTGGCGGTTTACACCCGCCTGAAGCAGTCGCTCTCTAGCGTCACCCGATATGCCCGGATTTCCCGCCACGCTAAGCCAGGCCAGAGATGGAAACAGCTCGGGCGCCGACGTCACGTTCCTTCCCCTAGGATGGCGATTTGTTATCGATTCTTTGTCGTTTTCGTTTTGCACCTCCAGCATGTCGCTCAGAGCCGCCGCTCCCGCGTCCTCGATCCGATTTCCGGCAAGGCTAAGGCTTTCCAGGACACACAGGCTGCTCTTTGTTTGATTGGCTCCCGCCGCTGGCCCACCGAGCCGAACTGTCGCCGCGGCCTCACGCAGCGCCGACGCTATCGTTGTTGTTCCGACGTCGCCGATGTTGTTGCTCCGGAGGTCGACGCTCCGAATCGCGGCCAGAGCCGGGGCAAGCGCCATGGCTCCTCGGTCTCCGATCCTTTTTCCCGCCAGGCTCAACCGGAGGAGAACGCCGGGCCTGAATGGAAAACCGTACCGTGGCATACATAACACAGAAAAAAATGAAAAATATACCCGTGGAACCGGAGGAGAACGCCGGGCCCGCATGAAAAACCGTGTACCGTGGTACAAAACTGAAAAAATAGCGAACACAAAAGTGAGTACTGTACTGTGGTTTTCTCTCAGCTCACGAGATCAAGGGGCATTGCCTCCGAGCGGTGACCGCGCGTGACCATCCCGGCACAGGGGCGCGAAGTATTACGGCTCGCCTGTTCGAGAAATCTTCGTTCCAATTCGAGAAGAAGCAGCCGTGACCCACGGCAATCTATACCATGGTCAGCGAGCGGCCATGAGCACAACGTCGGAAACTGACACACACCCGGAAACAACTACCCCGCCTTGCCAACAGGGTAAAGAGTATCGCCTTGTTCACGCACACGTGTAAAAACGTTGTGATTGGCCTTGTTCACGCACACGTGGAAAAACGTTGTGGTGGTGGTTTGAGTTCGCGTCCTCTATTTCTCGTCGTTCTCCAAGCTCTGGTCCCCCGTTCGAAGGACCGTAATAATTGTCTCGCGCGGGCACTCTTGGACTCTATTCATTGTCCAACCGACTTGAGCGATTGCGTCGACTTGGAAAACAAATGCGCGTGCACACCCCCCCACTAGCGTCCTCTCATTGATCAGCCGGTTCGCGCGGTCGATGCTATTGAACAATGAAAGCACGCACCTTGCAAGAATGGCCCTTTCTACCGCAGATGCCTGCGGTGGGCCGATCGGCTCGCTGTACTTGAGCTCGCACAGCGCCGAGATGGACGGGAAGCTCGGGGCCAGGACCCTCCCGCCGTCCTCGCCCATGACGGTAGAGGTCAACAGGGCCGCCAGAGCGTCCCTCAACGGCCCCTCCCGCACTCCTCGAAGGAGGGCTTCTTCTGCCCCTGGTTTTGATGGCCGCAGGAGGCGTTTATTGTCACCGTCCGCGGGATGCAGTTCCGACGGGCCTCGTGCACCAGCGTCCCCGCCCATCTCGGCGTCTGATTTATCGATGGTATCGTTCGTCCGAGTTTCCCGTCGCGAGAGGCCGTGCGTACGACCACAACCTTGTCGGTGATCACCGCGACTGCTGCCCTCGTCGGTGGGTGCAGACCTCCCTCTGCCGTGCTCGTGCACGCTGCCCTCGATCGTTGCGCCACCGCTGCTGCCGGTCTTGCCTGGAGACGTCCCGACGCCGTTCGCGGCCCCGCCCCCCTCGCGCCGGGTGCCCCCCCCGATCGCGTCACCCCCCCGCGGCTCGTCTTCGCCGGCCGTTACAGAAACGCCACCGCCGCGTTCCGAAGATCTACCGCTCGCTGCTGTCGCGGCGTCGGGCTCTTCCCGAGAAGCCGCCAGGCCCATGAATTCGGTCTTGATGGCGCTTTCGTCATCGCCAGTCGATGATGGCCGTGCGGCAGCGGCTTCGACGGTGGCTACAGATGCGGCAGAACCGGTCTTCCCCTTCACGACTACTACCGCCGGGAGCATTCGCGATCGTGTTGGGCTTGCGGTGAGGAGGGCTGTCGGTGGCGGAGTGGTCGCTTCACCCGCTGGTGCAGCCGCGGGAGACGGCGTCGAGCGCGCCGCCGCCGCTGCTGCTGCTGCTGCTGCTGCTGCTCTGGCTTCCATCTTCCGCTGGAGACGGTCCTCGGGCGTGGGGCGCCTCACAGACTTCCCCGCGGCGAGGATGCGGGTAGTCCTCATGTTTGACATTCGCGACGACCTGTCGAACCTGCCAAAGTTGTTGTTGTTGTTGTTGTTGTTCGTTGTACTGTCGATACATTATGAAACGTTCTGGTCTCTGTCGCTACATTAAAACTCAGTAGATACATGGGTTTTACGCTCGTACCGTACCGGTTCAACTCAGGGCTACGGGTAGGCCATGTACCAGGTAGTTTGTTTTCGACAAGTACAAGGGCGACATGAAAGGAGGCGAACAAATGGCCGCGACCTCAATGAAGCATCGCCCATTGCAGGCGAAGACACGGAGGGGCACGGCAGCATGAACGAAGCGCCCACAAAGAGAGCAGGAGCAAGAAGGGGCAGAGATTGATTGGGGCGGGGGCGCGGAAACAGCTTTTTCGTATTTTCTCGCATGACCCCCCAATGGCGGCAGGATGCCCACACCTTTTCGGGCTCACGCTTCTCTTGCCGCCGCCCCAGAGAGATCTCGACGCCTCCCCCCCGTCAGTGGTCGTTGGGCTTGATATTGCGTCGCCCCCCGGTCCCCTCCGTAGCTGTACCCGAAGCGGCGACACCGAGCGAGACGGTGGCGTTGATCGGTCACGGCCGGTATCGGTTGCCCAAGCTTCCGTGGCACCATCAGCGCAGGGCCATCTCCCTGCACCTACGGCGCTGCTGCTGTCGAAGAGCAAGGCCCCACCGCCGTCGTCTTCTCCGTTGTCGTGTCCTTTTCCGTGGTGGCCGGGGGAGCGGCTCTCGGCGGTATGTGGCTTCCTTTCACACCTGAAACGATGGGGAGTTGTATGCGGAAAGGAGAAACGCACCACTTTAATAATGATGTTGACTTAAAGCAATGACGTGCAAGTAAAGCCTCGCACATCCGGGGAACGCCGATTTCCACTGACTGGCTAATGGAAATAGGTCCGTGTTCGGAAAAGGGAAGCTCACCGAAGACATGAACAAAATTACTTTGCTTTCTTATCAGTGCATCCCCCGCCCCTTGAGAACTTACCGACAAAACGTCGGGGACATTCAGTTTCGTAAAAAAAAAATCTGACAGAGGCCTTATTGTGCAGCAGGGCACAGTAGTTCTCAGCGTTTCTTATTACCGCACGGGTGCGCCGCACTCTCATCCCTTCCCGATCCTCACAGGCTTACTTTCGGCGATGTTCGTATGACGGTGGACATCGGTCCCGACTTTCAAAGAGTACGTAGTCAACATAAGAGTGGTCAATGGTCTAACAACTGAGGTATGCAAAGCACGAGCACGCCCCCCCCCCCCCCCCCCCCCCCCCCC